TGGAAGGGAGGGAGGGGAGTGAGTGAAAGAGAGCGAGAGAGAGAGAGAGAGAGAGAGAGAGAGAGAGAGAGAGAGAGAGATGAGAGATGAGAGAAGCACTTAAGCTGACAGTTTACTTCTGATTCCAGCCATCAAGAACACTGAAAAATCTGATAAGCAACCCTAGCTTGTTTGGCTCAGTGTGTAGAGCATCTGCCTGCGGACTGAAGGGCCCCTGGTTCAGCTCAATCCCCAGTGGGGGGCGTGCAGGAGGCAGCCAATCAATGCTTCACTCTCATCATTGATATTTCTTTCTCTCCCTCTCCAAAATCAATAAAATTTTTTTTTAAAAAAATCAGTTAACCAGATAGCTTTTAAGCTGAATCAGTGCATAGATATTTCAAAAAATGGAAGATGAACACAAGGATGGAAGACTTAAAAATGACGAGTGAAGTTTTTAAACAGATTTCTGCTGAGTACACAGCAAGCGGCTGAGGTTTCATTGATTCTTTCTGAAAGACGGGCACTGCATCTATTTCGTTTGTTGTCAGCACTGTTCATCTCTGTCTCCCAAGCAGCCACCGTGAGGGGCAGACTGAGCCTGGGGAGACACTGGAGCTTCCTCCGTCCCAGGGAGTGGGTGGGAGGTGGGCAAGGTGGCACCAGGCCAGGCTCTGTCTGTGCTGGAAGGCAGCCTCCAGCCCCGCGGAGCTGTGCAGAGCCCATACCACGCCCGCCTTGCTTCCCGCCCCAGCGCTCACACTGAGCTGGCCGCCTGCAGACGGAGGTCAGCACAGAGAGCAGGTGGGCTTGCATCCCAAGAACTTAAAGCAATGACGCTGTTTGAATATTACAACCATGTTTTCACACACCTCCACTTTCAGAGAGTCAAATACGTCTTTATTAATCTTAAAAGATTTTAAAAGTCAGTAATATCCCTTTATTAACCAACTAGGGGCCCGATGCACGAAGATTTGTGCAAGGATAGGCCTTCCTTCCCCTGGCTGCCGGCACCGGCTTCCCTCCGGCACCCGGGACCCGGGCCTTCACTCTGGCTGCCGCCTCCTGCCTTCGCTTCGGGCTGGAGCCGCCTCCCACCCGCTCCGGCCAGCTCTGTGGCCGCTGCCCAGAGGCTGGCCCTCAGTGGGCGGCCAGGGCTTGCGGGAGGATTGGCTTCCTTTGTCACTAGGGCGCTGGGGCGACGAAGGAAGCCAAGTGTCCCGCCTGAAGGAAGCCAAGCATCCCACCCGTTCCAGCTGGCTCCGTGGCTCCGGCCAGCACTGCCATTTTGTGGCTATGGGCGCTGCCATCTTTGTTGCAAAGTGATGGTTAATTTGCATATTACCCTTTTATTAGTATAGATCAGTGATGGCGGACCTTTTGAACTCAGCGTGTCAGCATTTTGAAAAACCCTAACTTAACTCTGGTGCCGTGTCACATGTAGAAATTTTTTGATATTTGCAACCATAGTAAAACAAAGACTTATATTTTTGATATTTATTTTATATATTTAAATGCCATTTAACAAAGAAAAATCAACCAAAAAATGAGTTCACGTGTCACCTCTGACACGCGTGTCATAGGTTCGCCATCACTGGTATAGATTAAAGACACTCTATTATTGAACAGTTGGTCTGATTTCCTTTAGACAAAGATAACAGAATTCAAACAAGAATTGGCCCAGCTCTATGGAAGGATAGAGAGGGGGCTGAACGGATAGAGGAGGGAGCCTGCTTGCCACACTCCGCGTGGAGCCGAAAGGCAAACCTGCTCATGCAGGGAGGTCTGTGAAGAGTGCGCCTACACAGAACTGCAATAACTAATGCGTTTCATAAGCATACACATGACACCATTTTTATAATCCTTATTACAAAAGATCCTAATGTCACTGTTGATGCAAATACAATATCTTCAAATTGTCACAATAAAGATATTGTACGTCAATGTGTGCTTTTGAAACTATGGTTAAGCTTCTGGGAAAAGCTCAAGTAACTGTACATTGTAGAAAAAAAGATGTTTTGTATTTTTGATACAAATACATGTCAATACCAGAAGAGGCACAACAACATTGAACAATTATCTTTGAATTTCTCTAAAAGGACAAAAAATCAATTCAACGAAATACATTTCTATGGTAATGGCTAATTTAATGTTTTGGCAAGTACATAAGGGGGCTGCTTTTTCTTGGTCAGTAATGACAGCCAACACTAGACGTCTAGGAATATGGGCATTTACATCATACATATTGAAGAGAACATCTACAGAAAATGAGACAGTTTTCACATCCATGTTCAAAGTGTCTCAGAAATTCCGCTGGGGTCCATTTTAGTGAGACGTAAGTAGTGCCAGGGTTCTGTGTAAATAAACAGTAGAACAGTCCTTTGCTAATGCATTACATATGCAAATAAAAAATCTAATGGAAGTGGTACGATTAGCTCACTAGAGAAATGCCTGTCACTCAAAGAAATTTCCTGCTAAGCGACCATAAATATTAATATAACTTCTTCAGGGAATTCAACATTCAACACTGGCTACAGATGAACTGCTGTGACCCACTGCTTTTTCTCTTCGGAGGTAACAACCAGAGCAAAAGAAATGTTCTATGTAGAAAAAATATATTGTTTTGTATGGATCCTTTAAAAACTAATTTGGTTTGGAAATTTATTTTTCCCAGCTCTAGTTGAAGACAATATTATATATATATCCTATCTAATCAAAGAGAAACATGGTAATTGGCGTACGACTGCTACCCTTCCCATTGGCTAATCAGGGAGATATGCAAATTAATTGCCAGCCAAGATGGCGGCCAGGCCGGCAGCCAGGCAGCTTGAAACTAACATGAGGCTTGCTTGCTTCAGTGATGGAGGACTCCAAGGTTCCCCGCCTGCTGCTGCTGGCCTCTGAGCCTGCAGTTTGAAACATTTTAACAAATATAGAAGCTAAAAAACAACCCAGAAACCAGCTTTCAGCGAGCTGGGATCTCAGAGCTGGAGTCAGAGCTGGAGTTATACATTGTTTTGATTATAGAACTGAAACAAACCAGATACCTACTTTCAGCAGCGGAGGCCTAAGAGCTGGAGCCTCAGAGCTAAAGGTGGCCCAGAATTTTTTAAAAAAGGAAAAAAAGGAGTGGTTGGGAGCTTCTGTCACCCGCCAGCCTGAAAACAGCCCTCAGACCCTCACCCAGACTGGCCAGGCACCCCAGTTGGGACCCCCACCCTGAAGGGTATGTGACCAGCTGCAAACAGCCATCATCCCCTCAACCCTTTTATAGTTTTATTTTAGACTGTCTCAATTGATAGCCTCTTTTTGTTGGTGAGCTCATGTTTAGCAAGGAGCTCATGTATTGTCTGTGAGAGTTCAGTGTGCGTGGTTTGTGAGCATCTCTAAAGAGTGCTTGTCATTAACCAATGTCACCACAATACATTTAATTTAAAATAAAAAGAGTGTTTGTGATTGTTTATGCCACAGTCCCAGGGTTTTCACTGAGTTGGCACCCATTTTATGTTCATTTCTCAGCTTGGAGTCATATGAGTGTTATGGACTGAATGTTTTTGTCCCCAAAAATTCACACATTGAAATCCTAACACCACCCCAGAGTGATGGTATTTGGAGGTGGGGCCTTTTGGAAGTAGTTAAATTATGAGGTTGGGGCCCTCATAATCATGCCTTTATAAAAGAGGCACCAGAGCGTTCTTTCTCACTCTTCATGACATGAGGACTCAGCGAGATGCCTGTCTGTGAACCATTATATATTCCAGAGCCTCGGGAATTGTTTCTCCTTAGAATATGGAAGATATTTAGCAACTACATTGAAGTAAATCTTGAAAAACACCAACAAAGGGTGCAAAACCCTTTAATATTAAATGTTAATAAGTGGTATCACTTCCTAGAATGGTAATGAAATATATCAAGCCTGAAGATAGAGACTCCAAAGGATGTCTGAGTGGAACTTTTTGAAGTATCTCAGATCATTTCAGAATTTTCTTTAAAAGAAAACATTTTTAAATTGATTTCATAGAGGAAGGAAGGGGAGAGAGAGCTAGAAACATCAGTGATGAGAATCATTGAGCGGCTGCCTCCTGCATGCCCCCTACTAGTGGTCAAGCCTGCAGCCTGACTGAAAATTCAACTGAGACCTCCTGGTTCATAGGTCAACACTCAATCATTGAGCCATGCTGGCTGGGCAAGGGATCCTATTTGACAATTGATCCTCACTAGTAGTCCATTGGATTGGTCATCTATAATAAAAGGGCAATATGCTAATTAGACGTGACGTCCTTCCAGATGAAGCCAGGACTGGGGGGAAGCCGGGGCTGGCAGCCGGGGGAAGGAAGGCCTACTCCTGCATGAATTTGCATGCATCGCATCGGATCTCAAGTATGGATTATGTTATACCCACCCAGATAGAGCGATTATTTGTGTGTGATCCATGGGAAAGACCCACACCTAGAGGGGACAGCAGGGGTGAAAAGTGAAATGATGCACATCCCTGCGAATGCATCACGCACTGTGGGCCTGTGGGGAACCCCAACTAGGACAATTCACAGTATTTTCTCTTCGATTAGCTTTCTTAGGCTTCTGTGCTTGTGTTGTTCATGCCATGCCTAGTGCCCTCTATGTGCCCTAGTGCCTATTGTAATTCTTGGTTGGTGAGAGTTCTTTTAAAAAGACTCTCACTCCAGTTCTGTAGATAATTGAGGTGGCAAATATGGAGTCCATAACATCAAACTAGGAACTGAAATGTTGAGTTAAGGCTGGGATGAGCGGAGCCAAGCCTTCTGGTTTGGGGTCTGCCGGTGTTTCTGTCCTTCCCTTCCACTCCCATGGTTTCTCCATCTGCTGGATGGGTGTCTGACAACACTTATCTCATATGACCTTTGAATTGATGGAAGGAAGCCTGCTTCCTGCCTGTTCCTTTGGAGAAGGACTGCAATGGTGGTAGTTGGAATCCAAGTTTATATCTAGGGGACGTGATAATTAGTTGTCATTATGCAATTTCTAATGAATGCATTGTTTAAAACAGCAGATTGCAGGCTAGGAAAAAAAATGGGTGCAATTGCAGGAGATGAGGCTGAAAATAATTTAGAGTCAACTTACGAATGACCTCCTAAGGAGTGCGTGTGTTATTCTATAAGACACATTATTTCCTGAGATGCATTCCACAGAATGCTTGCACTAGAGGATGTTAATATGCCTGGGGCAACCAAGTTTATATCTAGGGGACGTGATAATTAGTTGTCATTATGCAATTTCTAATGAATGCATTGTTTAAAACAGCAGATTGCAGGCTAGGAAAAAAAATGGGTGCAATTGCAGGAGATGAGGCTGAAAATAATTTAGAGTCAACTTACGAATGACCTCCTAAGGAGTGCGTGTGTTATTCTATAAGACACATTATTTTCTGAGATGCATTCCACAGAATGCTTGAGGATGTTAATATGCCTGGGGCAGGCTCAGTAAATTGTTTACTTCAGGGTAGGCCTTAAATATGCCAATATACATTGTGATTTCCCAAGAGTATTTTGTGTATTGTTTTTTTCTCAAACTAAACAATGTAACTTGGTAGTAGGTACACAATGAATATACCTTTCAGTTCATTCTAATATTCTGTGTACACACAACATGTCTGATATTCAAAGCCATATAACCCATGTACCTGGGAACTTGCAGGGTTTAGTAAACAAGTGGAATGAATGAAATATCTGAATAGCCCTCCAATCACTCACTTATAAAATGGGAAAACACACAAAAAATAAAATAAAATGGGAAAACAGTAATACAATTTTCATTTAAAAGTGGAGTTAAAAAGAATGTTTTTATTGATTTTAGAGAGAAACATCAATCAGCTGCCTCCTGCATGCCCCAGCACTGGGGATCAAGCCTGCAACCCGGGCATGTGCCCTGACCAGGAATGGAACTGGCGACCTCTCTGAGCACGGGATGAGGCTCAACCACCCGAGCTACACCGGCCAGGATGGTAATACCATTTTTAAAAGATTGAAGAGTTGGAGAGATGTGATCACACAACATTTTGTGAACAGGACTATTTTTTCTCAATTGAAATCAAATTGAAACAGACTCGAAAAATGAAGAAAAAAACAATAAAAGATGGGCAAAAATATGTAAGGAACAGCGATGAAATTATTGTTTAGGTATGTAATCTTTGCTTAACCTTGAAGGGCTCTTAAAATCTGTCCAATACTGTGACTGGGTGTACATAGTGTTGTGGTTGAGAGGACTGGATGGGAGTCAGACTGCCAGGGGCTGAAGCTCAGCCCTGCCCCTCACTAGCTGTGTGATACTTACTATGGGTGTGACTGTGATGCTGAGCAATTTCTTTCTGTCTCAGTTTTCCTCATCTGTAAAATGGGAACAATAAATATGCTTATTTTAGAGGGCTATGGTTAGGATTACAGAAAAAATAAATGTTAGATATTAAGAAAAGTTAGCTGTTATCAATATATTTCAAATTTTCTACATAGTAGGAGACAAAAGCTCTGGCCTGCCCTAATCTGTTCTTCTTAGACTGTAGCTGCTTGGCCAGTGTTTCCACTCCACCCTCTCCCTCCTAAAGTGGTTGTGCACAGCTCACTTTTAAGCTGCCCCACCAAGTTTAACAACTACTGGATTAGACACTCTGTCCTCCTTCAAACCTATTTATTTTTACTTAAAAAGTCCACCAATGCTTATGCCTTGTGTGGCCATTAATATACAAGTTCATTGATGTTTCTAGCTCAGGGGTGGGCAAACTTTTTGACTCCAGGGCCACAATGGGTTCTTAAACTGGACCGGAGGGCCAGAACAAAAGCATGGATGGAGTGTTTGTGTGAACTAATATAAATTCAAAGTAAACATCATTACATAAAAGGGTACGTTCTTTTTTTTCAATAGTTTTATTCATTTCAAACGGGCCGGATCCGGCCAGCGGGCCGTAGTTTGCCCACGGCTGTTCTAGCTGATTTACAGTTGGGTTAGTCTTCTCTGGATTACGTCTAATTTTTGGCCATTCAGTTGACGCTCAGTTAAAATGCAGGGAATTCTTGACATTTAGCATTTGTGAGGACACAGGAAGGCAAACTAGAGACCAGAATTACACAGCATCCTGCATAAGAATGAATGAGGAGACAGGAGGACCAACATGATGCTCCAAGATATGTTAGATGGTCTGCTAGTTACTACGATAGGCTGGTGTCATTTCATCACTGCAGTGACAATTTAAAAATAATCTGAAAAGGCCTCTCACATGGTTCCCACAGAACGTTATTTTGATTGCATCCTCTGTCTCTGTGAATGCGGTTTTCCCAAATCATTTGACTGTTTATATGGAATTCTGCAAATAAGCCAGTGAGGCAGCAATAAGCCAGCAAAGGTTTTTAGAAACATCCCCAATAATCCCTCTACTTCTGATTGGGGGACTCTGCAGTGATGCCGGCAAGTAAAAGAGAAGGAGTGGGATACTGTTGGGCCAGTATTAATAATGGAGTCTGAGCTTTTAAATCATTTCAGATAGAGCAGCAAAATCTATAATCAAGCAAGTTAAGGCAGACTGAACACTCACAAATAACCTGTGAGTGTTTAAGCTCACTTATGACTTGTATTTCCTTTGGAGGACATTTTTTTTAAAAAAATATATTTTATTGATTTTTTACAGAGAGGAAGGGAGAGGGATAGAGAGTTAGAAACATCAATGAGAGAGAAACACCGACCAGCTGCCTCCTGCACCCCTCCCACTGGGGATGTGCCCGCAACCAAGGCACGTACCCTTGACTGGAATCGAACCTGGGACCCCTCAGTCCGCAGGCAGACGCTCTATCCACTGAGCCAAACCGGTTTGGCTGGAGGACAATTTTAAAGATGAGCAAGACTTTGAACTGATCAAGATACTTACATTAGGCTCTTCATACACATCCACACACACTCCACACATACAAATACACACCACACACACATCTACACATACCACACACACATATATATATGTAATATATATATATATATATCTCATAGGATATATATGGATATATATCCAAAGGTAAAAGTTAGATTTAAGAATGCTTTTCACATGAATATACCAAAGATACATCAGTCCGCAGGCAGACGCTTATTTGCATACAAATAAGGTCGGGATGCATAGAATTCTGTGCTCAGCAGACGAAGAGTAAAAGATTGCTGTTATTAACGGTTTTTCATTTACAGCCCTGTCAAAATTAAGTGAAAATATGAATTTATCAAAAACCATTCTAAAGAATCATTTCTACAAAGTGTGTGTGTGTGTGTGTGTGTGTGTGTGTGTGTAGGAGGCTGCTCAGACAGGTTAGCTCAAAGCTTTTTGGAGTAGTCTAATGAACTGAGTTTTATGTAAGTGGCAGGCTACCACCAGAAAGACTTCCGACTGATTTCTCACAGCAGGACTGGGATTAAAAATACATCTAACAACAGGCTTCAAAGAGAGGAAAAATCCACTCGCAATAAAAAGGCCATCAAGCTTTAATTGTGAGAACTTCTCTGATTCCGAGAATCTCGTCTTTCTACCAATAAAGCCACTTATACTCATGGTTTAATGTCCTAATTTAAGAAATGGACAACACTGCCTGGCTGGCATGGTTCAGTGGTAGAGTATCGACCTATGAACCAGGAGGTCATGGTTTGATTCCCAGTCAGGGCACATGCCTGGGTTTTGGGCTCGATCCCCAGTGTAGGATGTGCAGGAAGCAGCCAATCAATGATTCTCTCTCATCACTGATGTTTCTCTCTCTCTCCCTCTCCCTTCCTCTCTGAAATCAATAAAAATGTATTTTAAAAAGAGAAATGGATGGCACTAAATTAATTTCTAATTTATATCCCACTTCTCTGCCTGTTTTCATTGTCTCGCTAATGCAAACTGCACTGAACAATACAAACCATGTCTCATTTCTACCACACAACCTCACCAACCAGAAAGGTGGTGATGCAGTCTTATTTTAAAGACAAATGAGTTATAAGCATTGGTAATGTTCAGCTAAGCATTAAAAATCGTTCTTTAAGTTTCTTTGAAAGTAGCATTAAGTCAGAGCACAATCACTGAAGGAAAAAAGAAACAAATGAAATCCTTTACTGTTTCAGTTAATTTTAGTGGAAAATAGAACAAGAATCGGATTTTCATTCGGGATTACAATGGTCCATAAAGTATACAGGCTCTTTGTCGAATGTCAATTCTCTCCTCATTGAGGAAATATCTGAGGCTGTATTCCTGGGTCAATTTATTTCTGCTTTTTTTAGATCTTAGTCCCGTCCTAGTTATATCTACGTTTCAGGATCCATGACATGAATTTAAACAGGCCCGTGGTTAAATCTAAACACAGGCAGTGACCACACAACGCCCAATCTACGGGCTTGTCTGTAAAGTGGCAGGAATTCAACCTTTAATGAATAGGACTTGATTCTGCCTAAATGCCTACTATCACAAACAAAATGGTCACTTTCAAAAGGATAAATACCCGAGTGTTATTTTCAAAAGTTCAACACCTGATCTCCCACCAATGCCAAATATCTTACCCCTTAACAGTCTTTTGTACTGAGAATCAAAAGAGAGCTTCACCCAGATCCTCATTTCTTAAATATCCGTTCAGTCCAAAGATCATCATTCCAGATCAGTGGTTCTCAACATGGGCCACACGCCCCACAGGGGGGCAATTTGAGAATGAGTTATTAACAGTGAATTTTTTTGCATTTCTTATGGTTCTAGGGGCCTCATATACAGTCTATAAATACATATTGTTCATGGCCTTTTAGGCTTCCTCCGTGTGAATAGGAGTTCACTTTTTGAATAATAAGAATTATATGTCACAGGGGGGCCTCAGGATTTTAGAGATGCTTAGGTGGGAACCACTGTTGTAGGTGAAAACTCCTCCTTGGTCAATCTTGGTCTTATCAGAACTGGATATTCCTGGTCTATTAAGGTCAGAAAAATACCAACTACAAACACCCACAGACACTCTGTGCTAACAGTGCCTTTAAAAACTTCTGAGTGACACTGATAACCTTGTTATCTACTTAGCTTGAATCGAGATTGCTTATCGTTGTGAAAAGTCCGGTAACACTTCTTTTCTCGCTCTCCTGTTTCTCACCTTTCTGAAGACTTTATGTCGAAGCAAGGCCTTGGCAACAAAATAATTTATCACCAGGTTCAATTTCCATCTGTGCAATGGAACAGGTTTACCTGTTATCTGGCACACAGAACTAAAATATAATCTGAGAAACAGAATTACCCCCTAACTTTATAAAAATGCCGTTTTTAGAAGGTATACTTACAAACGGGATCTTTTAAAATCAGTTTATAAGACTGAAAAACTATACACATGTAGTCTCATAATAATTTCATCTTCCAGGGGGAAAACCCCCAAACTGTACTGAAGCTCACGGCACGCTGCCTCTTCAGATCTCTTCCATCATTTAACCACAAACACCCTTCGCCAAATGCTTCAGATGCCCGGCTCTGTGTTTACGCAAAGATTCAAAAGATGGCCTCCACAGTCTCTACAGACCAGAGCATGCATGGGTCAAAAAATAATGGAAGTGGATGCAAAGTCAGGTCGCCATCCCAACGCCGGGGACAGGAGCGTGGCGCATCTCCGGAGGGGCTGTCTGAGATGAGCCAGTCAACCACAGGTCTCCTTTTTCTCGGCGATGATGCACCAGTTGCCATGGTCGTTCCCAGAGCTCAGGATATGGAGCTCTGACACGTTTTCCCTCAGCAGGCCACAGAGCTCGCCTTCGCGAAACACGTGGTAGTAGCGCATAAAGGCCCTGGAGTCCCAAACGTCGGGCTGCTGTCCTTCCACAGGAATTGTGTCATCTGGGATGGAATCTGTGGAGTCAACCGTAGAGACCCTCCTCAGTGCTCTACGAGCAGAAGGCTTCCCTTCTCCTAAGGCACCCGCCGCCGCACACTCCTCCTGGGTGTGGGTGCTGCCCAGACAATCCCCACCGCCACTCCTCCCGGTTTCTCCTTGACGGTCTCCACGGAGATGTTTCCCGGTGGCTGGTGCTCTCAGCCACTCCAAATGCTTCTGAGAACTTTCCACAAACACGTCCTCATCTGAACTTGGCTCTCTTGTTGAAAACGGCTCTTGGGGATCCCTGTCTACACTGGAGTGTCTGGAAGGCTGGATGGAGATAGTGCTGGTGGCCCAACCCTCTGTGTTTTTCAAGGGTCTCACTCTTTCAATTTGCTTCCTCAGACCTGACTCATCCAAAGATCTGGAGCAAAACCAGGAGCGAAAAGATTTCCCTAACGTGTTGTAGAACCCATTTCCTCCCCCAGCTTCCTTCGAAATGTTTGCACAGCAAGTCCTGGCCCTGACGGGTTCATCGTCCACGCTGTGGGACCGTTTGGAGTCCCGTCGCTCCTTAAAACAAACAGAGCAGCTACACACGGAGCAAGGAGGGTGGTAGGGGTGGCTTCTCTCCAGATGTCCACACTGCTTCTTTCTCCCGGGTTGGCTGGATTCGGACAGGAGCCGGGAGCATAGGGCCCTGTTCCACGGAACCAGCACGTCTTGCTTCTCAAAGTGCCGGTTCTTTTGCTCCATGGCCCAGACATAAATCATGAGCTGGCCTCCGGGAACCAAGACGCGGGCCATTTCCTTTATTGCTCGGATTCTTCTTTGTTTTGTAGAGAAATGATGTATGACTGAAAAAAGAGGAAACTCGATCTCAGCGTGTATGTACATACATAAGCCTACACATGTATGTATTAGTATTTTCCATGTCACAGGGATGCAATTTTGACATGTGGTAAGATCTCCGTATTTCCTACAGGGCAGGATGTGTGGTAGAAATAGCAGAGACATGGCTTTGGGAGAGACATAATTGCTAGCGTCGACTCCTGTAATTAGTAGACAACTGATCTTGGGAAAATATTTAACTTATATGGGTGTTAAGTCTCTTCATCTATGACACTGCGAATGAATAATGTGTAAAATCTCTTCCAGTTCCCAAATCCTGTGAATTGTGTTAACTAGAGGGTGGACAATGTGAATTGATGAAATCTGCAAGGAAGCACTAAGTTAGGTAAGTGCTACCAGTGGAATTCTATGAAGTAATTCATTACTTTAATGAATGATTGGTACTTCTAAAGCTCTGAAGGACTAATACCACTAATCAGTGTTAATAAATCAAATAGGAGTGGAGAAAAAATGCTAAAGATGTTTTTATACTTAGATAATGCAAAGATAGCCAGTCAAGCTCAAGTCCAAATGATTGCTTATCATTTTTAAGAATGTTAATGTAATATAAAATGGTTGAATATATTTTTTTAAAAAGTTAACTTCTAGGTCAGCTGTGGGCAAACTACGGCCTGCGGGCCAGATCCGGCCCGTTTGAAATGAATAAAACTATTGAAAAAAAAGACCGTATCCTTTTATGTAATGATGTTTACTTTGAATTTATATTAGTTCACACAAACACTCCATCCATGCTTTTGTTCCGGCCCTCGAGTCAAAAAGTTTGCCCACCCCTGTTCTAGGTCATCTTTTTTACTTTCAATCCCTGCAAAGTTAAAGTGAGAGTCGAGTAGGACTGCCTTTATATCATCATAAACATGTTATTAGGCGACATTTTATAAAAAACATATAGCCCTAATCGGTTTGGCTCAGTGGATAGAGCACTGGCCTGAGGACTCAAGGGTCCCAGGTTCGATTCTGGTCAAGGGCATGTACCTTGGTTGTGGGCACATCCCCAGTGGGGAGTGTGCAGGAGGCAGCTGATCGATGTTTCTCTCTCATCGATGTTTCTAACTCTCTATCCCTCTCCCTTCCTCTCTGTAAAAAATCAATAAAATATATTTAAAACAAACAAACAAACAAAAACATGTAGCGCCTGGCCGGTGTGGCTCAGTTGGGTGTCCTCCTGTGCACTGAAAGGTGGCCGGTTCCATCATGGTCAGGGCACAGGCTGTGTTTCCACTTAAGGGAACACTTCTCACCAGAGGAGGACAGCCAGTACTCCCCACTTCCTCTGGGACAAGGCACGGAATTCAACTGGAAGCAGAGAAGGACCTGACCCTGTGCACACAGAGCCTTTCCCCAAAGCAGGAAAGCAGGTCAACAGCCCACACCCACCACAGGGGCTCAGCAGCCTGGCCTGGATGTAGGTGGCCGTGCAGACCCTAACACTAATGTAAGCTAGCGAAGAGCAAGGAATCCTCCTCTCTGACCTCTCTCAGATTCTAGGTCTTTACAAATGTCCCCATTTGGAACTTAACAGTTTCAACTGCAAAGAAGGAGGACTATTACACAGCAGGTTTCCATGGCAACCATCTCCTGCTGGTCCTAACTAGTTCCAAGGTTACGGCATCCAGGCCTCAATATACAAAGATACAGTCCCCATCTAATGTTGAATAAATCCACTTCTCATCTTCTTCAGGAGAGAGCAAACCATTTTATGCTGAGTTTTTATCTGGTCAGGCAATTTTATATAGGTTCCCTTTGCTTTAATAAAGCTTAGTATATTCAAATAGATTAATTTTTAAATTGTTTTGGAGCAAATAGTTTGCTTTGCCAAAGAAGTTGCCACGAGATCAGCAAGGGCACCAAGCATATTTAAATATGACTAACCTACCAGGTTTCAGGACTATGTGTTTTGAGTAAAATGAGCCTGTGTAAATTTCAGGCAAGGATTTTTGCCGTGTCTTGTTTTTTTTTTTTAAGTTGTGGCATGTGTATTTATGGGCACACTTGCTGGGAGGATATGAGAAACATACTCCCTAGATTTATGAGCAATCTCTGGCAGTTTGAGCCGAGTGGTATTATAAAAACAACGCAATCTGGGACCAGGTGGGGCTGTCTTCCCCCGGGACTTGCCTACCAGCAAGTGGCAGATTGGATGACACATCCTTCCAGGTGGCATTCGTCCTACAATAGTCTGCTACTAAAGAGCACACTTACAGCCTAAAATAGGTCATATGACTTTGACATGTCCACCTCACGCTGGGAGATCTGGCTACGCTGCAATATAACAAAGTACTGTTCTCAATGAGTAAAATTCCTCTACTACTTCCTTACTCATAAGCAAAAGAAACTGGAATGAGTCATCAAAAAGAATAAAATAACAGTTTGAAAGTTTAACTAGTTAAAAAATAATTATAGGTCCCACCATAAGTACATTTGAGATTAGTCAAACAATTCAGTCAGTTGATATATTTTTAAAAATTAGATAAAATGAACGACATAGACCAGCGGTTCTCAACCTGTGGGTCGCGACCCCTTTGGTGGTCGAACGACCCTTTCACAGGGGTCGCCTAAGACCATCCTGCATATCAGATATTTACATTATGATTCCTAACAGTAGCAACATTACAGTTATGAAGTAGCAACGAAAATAACTTTATGGTTGGGTCACAACATGAGGAACTGTATTTAAAGGGCCAGAAGGTTGAGAGCCACTGACATAGACCCTTCCACAAAGAATGGAGGTTGGGTTGTAAGAATGGCCTCAACCGCGCAACATGATTCTCATGGCGAAGAGGGAGCGTGTAACCGGGCTGCCTTACCTCCTATGGAGATGATGGCGTCGAAGCCCTGATCCCTAAAGGGGAGGTTAAGGTTGTCACACACCATAACCTCACATCCCCTGCTCCGGGCAATCTCTACCAACGGCCCACAGTAGTCACAGCCCAGGCTATGTACCTGGCTATTCACTTTCAGGTACTTTCCAGTCCCACAACCTATAAGAGAAAAACTGTGTTACGTGCTTAAAGGAGAATGGAACAACGTCGGTCAGCTTGTCTCATAACAAGAACAGAAATAGCTTTATATTAACTAACTGACCCAGAATACAGCATGGTGTGAAGGTAAACACAGAAGCAAAAGCAAAGCCTTCAGACAGCTCCTACATATTTTCAGATAGAATAGAAGAGGGAAAGGGAATTGGTAAAACCTAAATAATACTTATTAAATATTTAGCGAGGTAATGTCCAGAGGGCGCAGCATGCTAGCACAGCTGTGAGCTGGCCCACGGAAGAAATGATTGGTCCCTAGCGTCCCAGGAACAGTGTCCAGTCCCTTTACAAAAGTTGCCTTCACATCCATATTTCATTATGTACAGATCCATATATTCTGGCCTTTATTCTCCTGCCATCTCTCTAGACAGACAGACTGCTTACTGGTTACATAAAACAAACTACTGCCCACAACTTTTAAATGGCTATAAAGAAAACAGGCTTTTCAAAATTTTAATTTGAATGAAAAAAAGATTTCAACAGTTTTTCATCCACCCTGTCGTCGGTGCTCGGTTTCACATGACTCAGTATACAACCTAAGAAAGAACTATTCTTTTCTTAAATAGACCATTTTTGACATTCACTTTCTGATGGCAGAGACCCAAGTCATTCAACATTTACACAGCCCAGAGATTTAGGTCAATCAGATCTCAGTGATATTACAGGGAAGAAGATGGCACCGTGAATGAATCACCACCCTGAAACAAAGCCTTCCAAATCTAGTACCTGGTATATTCTAGTACAGACACCTCATCTAATTCCTTTACAGAAATATTTAAAGATATCAGCAGAGCTGATGATATTTGTACCTTCTGGAATTACCTGTAGATTTTTGTCTCACATTTTTCTAAAATATAACCACTATTCAAAGATGATTAATTTGCAGCTTCTGAAATACTTTTTAAAAATATTATTTTTATTGATTTCAGAGAAGAAGGGAGAGGAAGAGAGAGATAGAAACATCAATAATAAGAGAGAATCATTGATCGGCTGCCACCTGCATGCCCCACTGAGGATCGAGCCTGCAACCCGGGCGTGTGGCCTGACCGTGAATGGATCTGTGACCTCCTGGTTCATAGATCAACGTTCAACCACTGAGCCATGCCGGCAGGGCTGTCACACTTTTTAAATAACTCCTCCTTGACAGTAGCTGTTCAAAATTACATGAGAGACCACAAGCATAATTAAGGTTTGCTAATGCCAGGTGAGACAGTGGAGGGCTTGTGAATAAGAAATAATATTTCCAATGTTATTATTTCCATGTAAATGGTTGAGGTCTTACAAATACCTCAGATCTCATGGCCACTGTTCCAAAGAATGCTTGTGAGAAAAAGTATCCAATATTTAAGTGCAATCATGGGGAAAATATAATCCTCAGAGTGTTTTAAAACTGAAATCCTGATTACAAAGATGATGGTCATGTTTTTTTTAAAGAATCTTGTTTTTTTTATTTTTTTTTATTGGCTCAGGGGCTACATTTAGAGAAATGAAAGGAAAATTACTTCAAAAATACTAATAAAAACAGATTTATAGATGGTTAGTGCTAGAAGGAAGTGTTCAGAGAGCATCTGGTAATAACAAGGAAACTGAAGTCTTTTACAAATCTCAGCATCTCCTAAAAACTTCCCAGCATGACTCATCCCAAATTCATTTCTAATGGTATTCATGTTTAAGGATAGCAGTGGAGATCCCAAATCTGATGCAGTTATCCATTTTCTAAGTGCACACACGGAGATGCTAGAGAGGGAAGGTTTTATCCTAATAAGGAAAGCCAGAACACAGCCACGCCTAGTTGCCCACTATTGTAAATGTGCAAGAAATAAATCAGAAGATCTGAGATGCTGCAGCAAGCACAGGTACACAACAACCAGGTCCTTTGCAAAGTCTCATTAAATACTGACCTTTCGTGGGATTGAAGAGGGACCAGAAAGTGTCTGCATGCTTCCATTTCCTCTACTTTGTATTCTGCACCACACACATTTTGTGCATTTCCGTATTTTGGTGGTGATTTCACTGTTTAAAATTCAGCATCATGCTGAAGTGCTGCCTACAGTTTCTAAGTGCAGGAAGGCTGAGACGGGCCTCATGGACAAAATACACTTTGTCCAGGCATCAGATATATAGTTGTTGCCCGTGAGTTCACTGTTAACAAATCTATACTAATAATAGAGGATTATGCAAATTGCCCAGGACACCATCACAGTAACAGTAACGATGGAACAGCAGGCTGCGTGGGGCGACCAGGCTGGCAGGGGGGTTAGTGAAGGACAACCAAACGACTGAACAACAGGCTGCATCGGCAACCAGGCCTGCAGGGGGCAGTTGGGGGTGACCAGGCCAGCAGGCAGAGGTGGTTAGGGGTGATCAGGCTGGCAAAGGGGACCGTTAGGGGTGATCAGGCAGGCAGGCAGGTGAGAAGTTAGGAGCCAGTGGTCCTGGATTGTGAGAGGGATGTCTGACTGCCGGTTTAGGCCCGATCCTGGTTTAGGATTCGGCCTAAGCCAGCAGTCAGACAGGGTCCCAGATTGGAGAGGGTGCAGGCTGGGCTAAGGGGACCTCTACTCCCCCGCCCCATGCACGATTTTTGTGCACCAGGCCTCTAGTCAATAATAAACAGAAACACACATGGAACTAGGTTGGGTATTGACGAGTTGACAAAAATGTGACCAGAGGTTCACAGGAACTGAATCCTGTGCTTCCCCTAAGGGTTATCATGCAGGATTCACTAATTCGGTGTCCTTGGCAACTTTATAGAACATAAATGCTGTGAAAAATGACAATCAATTGTATTTTTTAATGCTTTCTGACTTTTTAAAAAAAAATACCATACAGAGAAAGGTCTTTTGCCTCTGAGAGTATTTTTTATTTTATTTATTTTTAAAATCCTCAGCCGAGGATATTTTTTCATTGATTTTAGAGAGAGTGGAAGAGAGAGGGAAAAACAGAGAGAAATATTGATGTGAAAGAAACACACCGATTGGTTGCTTCCTGGTCTGGGGAGGAGCCTGCAACCGGAATTGAACCCAAGACCCTTTGGTCCACAGGCTGGCGCTCTAGCCACTAAGCCAAACCGGCTAGGGCTATTTTATCTTTTAAAATTATTCTTTTATTCTTTTTTATTTTATTATTTTAAAATAATGTAGTTGTTCCCTAGTCCTTTAATGTTTTCATTTTCTTATACTTCCATCGGTACTTCATTTGGAATTTCTGATGTAAGGTAGGAGAAAGAAAGTAGCATATGTGCATGCTGTGGTCCTAAAGCCACGTGTTGAATAGTTTCTTTTCCTACCAGCTGATTTTAAGATCCTGGTACTGTGCTTAGACTATGAATGGTAAGAGTTCCAAAGTCGAGAGCAGATTTTTGTGGCTGACCTGCTGTTTTCTCAACCTGCCAGCAGTATTGAAATAAACACTCATATAAGATTCAACCCTGCCTCTGCTGAATTGCTTCAAGTAGTGACAGGCAGCCTAGGCTTGAGCTGTAAACCAAGGTCCAGTGGAGTTTGGGATTCGGGTCTTTGAGTTCTTGACATCCTTCCAGTCAACACCACTGCAATTCTCAAGTTGGAGAACCGAAGATGGCGGCATAGGTTAACGCCGGAGATTGCTGCCTTGAACAACCAATTCAAATTACGCCTGAAACAGGGAGCAGACAACATCCAGAACCACAGGAGGGCTGGCTGAGTGGAAATTCTACAACTAGGAGTAACGAGAATATCATACCCAGACTCAGAGGAGGAGCAGTGCTGAAGTGAAATTCTCAGGTACGTGTGCGTGCGCGGAGCGGGCTGGCGGCGCGGAGGGCGCGGCTGTTGTTTACAATCGGGAGGGGG